CCCCCCCCCCCAATCAAAAAACTGCTCCGCCGTCTCTGATCTTGCATCTTGTTGCATCTTGCACTTTCGCGATTATTCTACGTCATAACAAAGAATAAGGGGTAACTATATGACGGGCAGTTATCTTGCAATGCAACATCACTTTAACTACATCGCCATTCTTCTACGTCAGAACAAAAAATAGTAAGGGGTCACATGACGGGCAGATTTCTTACCATTCAACACGTTTAGAGCAACAGTTTTTATACTTTTACAAATTAACTTAAATATACTGTAAAGACTGATGATGTTCTTGTGTGCTGCGTGTGTATTTGTATAGTTTTTATGTCTTTTTTTGTCACTTTTTCAATCATTGATTTTTTGCCTATGTATTTATACGGTGTGTTATTATGCTCATTATCAAATAGCAGAAATCCCGACCCTAAACGTAATGATTTTTAATTAAGAATATGTAAACCGACTTCCAAGCATTTTTAGCTTTCTAGTTATTTTTGGAAGTTGGTACCTCTCAATCTGTCTAACATATAAGAATGTATCAAACTAGAAAATAATGTAATAATGGGTACAAATAAAGTTCTTCTTCTTCAACAGTAAATGTCTCTACTTTTTCTTCCATGGTTCTCACTTCGTTATTTCTTTATACTGTTCTCACTCTTGTTTCTAGTTCATGGATTAAACCAGCTTATATTTTACCCTGTCGTACTTTCCCGAACGCTTCTCATACTCACGGAAAGGTTTTACTTCTTTTTTTACTTTACTCTTTAGTAGTTGGTGATTTTATTTCGCACTGCTGCGAGTTCTCATTTGCGTTAAGTGATTCATATAGTGATTCCATTATCTCTTATAGCGATTCAGTATTCTCGTATAGTGTTCCATATTCTCGTATAGTGATTCCATATTCTCGTATAGTGATTCCATATCCTCGTATAGTGATTCCAAATTCTCGTATAGTGTTCCATCTTCTCGTATAGTGATTCCATATTCTCGTATAGTGATTCCATATTCTCGTATAGTGATTCCATATTCTCGTATAGTGATTCCATATTCTCGTATAG